TTAGAAGTTATTAGAATGAATAACTTGGACATGAAGTTTTCCAATATGGTTTCTGCAAGGTGACGATGCATTGCTAATGACACTATTGATGGTGCCGCTTTGACGTGAAAACAAATAAAAGCTAACATTTTATTTTATAACTTTAACCTATACTTCTGGAGAATTCCATCTTGTCTATATTTATCTTGCTAAAAACAATGATTTAGTCTGTTCTTGAGCAATAAGCGTTACCAAAAAGGTTAAATAGACACTACTAAAAATAATAGTGGCAGAAAGTAGCTTCCTACGCTTAAAAAAACAAATAAATAAATTAAGCTTACAAAAGCAACACAGAGACTTGCACACACCATCGCTTCTCAAAATATCACTTTGTGCTCGGTAACAAATAGAGAAGTTTGACTGTGCAGCGCCCTTGCTGAATGTTTGTCGGTTCCTATACAATCTCTGTCTTTTCTCTTCACAGTAACAGTCTGTGAGAGATGTCAGCGTGTATGATTATTAGTCTGAAGAAAATAACAGAATGTGGGAATTAACCACCAAACCCAACAATTATTCTCTGCAGACCAAAGTTCATTCTTTGTGTGGAGCGTTTACAGCTTAGGTCTAAAGACGCTTGTGTGTGTGTTGAAATAAATATGCTAACCAGTTAACTCCAGTAACTAACCACGTGTAACGCTAGTTTGTAGCTAAAAGTGTTTTACAAGGTCTTGAATAATCAGGCCCCATCTTAACAACCTCACAGCACCACATCACCACATAGCATATATTTAGGCCTGGACCAGGTGATACTGCGTCCTCCCTTAGTTACACTGCAAAAGGCCTAGGTTGCGTCCCATGATGCACTAAATATTTCTTCTTCACTCACCTGTTTTCACACTCTATGTATTTATACACCACTCTGCGTTTAGTTTTCTCCCTTACCTCCTTACCTGAGGGGCAGTCATGGCTGCCCCTCCTTGAGCCTGGTTCTGCTGGAGGTTTCTTCCTGTTAAAAAGGAGTTTTTCCTTCCCACTATCACCACATGCTTGCTCATAAGGGGTCAGCTGATTCTTGGGGTTTTCTCTGTATTATTGTAGGGTCTTTACCTTACAATATAAAGTGTCTTGCACTGAAAATTGTTTTGATTTATGTTGATATGTTGAACAGTGCCCACTGTGTGCCCATGTATATGGTGTTGGAGAAAAGGTGGTGAAAGAAATGATGGTAAAAGAAGTATTTGTAGTTGTGGTTGCTCGTTTTCCTTTTGTTTTGCTTTGTTTGTTGGTCTCTTTTTAATTCTGTGTTGTTGTACTTTTTCAACATGTTCAAAATAAAGATTCAAACAATCAATCAGTCAATCAATCAAACGATGGGTAAAGCTCCTGACAACAGACCACTTGAGAGCAGGATTTGGGCAGGATTGGTTTATTGCTTAGCACACTATTTTCAATGTCCTGACCTCGCCTACTAGTGAAGTCTGGTGATGGTAGACAAAAAAACGCAGCTGCTTCCTTTGTCCACATACACAGAAATTAAAGAAATATCGATGACAAAACAAAAGTAGCACCAGTTAGGATCCAGAGCTACACTTTTAAAAAGGTTAATTTCAATAGGTTCATGGCTTAAAACGAAAAGCGTTTTTAAGGTTTTAGTTAAACACTGGATGCACTTAATTGTGCGGTGGAGTTTTTTTTTAAGCGATAATGATGAAGATGACAAAGAGAATCAATCATTAAATATGCAACAGTTTCATATTTATACGCCTTTTCATTCTGCTCTCATCCTTGGGAAACTCAATAATGTTATTAATGTGCAGGGAAACCTGTGGGAGGTAAAAGGTTAAAGGCGGTTAGGTGCCCTTCTTCTACTATCAGCACCTTATGCTACAGAAATGTTACCGCAATCATCCGCCCACAAACTGGTATTTTATTATTCCACAGCAGATGAACAGATCAGATACAGGTTTATACATGTGTATATATATATATATATATATATACACCTCATATATATGAAAGAAAGCTGAACGGGAACACGATTGAATTAACACTGTGAGATGAGGAAAAAAAGAACAACAACAAATGCAAAACATTTTTCAGAGAAGACCTTTTGCTTTAGAGCGAAAAATCGAAAAAGTCACCTGACAAGCGGGACACTGTTAAACTTCCTGCAATTTCAAAAACAATTGAACTTTTGTCAGTTTCTGGTAATATCACATTTATCTGTAACAGTTGTGACATTTAATGAGGAGTGTGTCTAACAGTGTGCAGGTCACGCAGAAGAGCTCCGGCTCTAGCCTTCTGACCTCTCCGGGGACAGAGGGACTGCTGTTGTTGCATCTGAACAAATTTATGAAATTCGCACCAGTTGACTCAGCTCTCCAGCGCTCGTGAGAATCAAAAAGAAAGTGAAGAGCGAGAGTGAAGAAGCGACGGGAGAGAGAGGGGGAAGTGGGGAAAATGTTAGCGGCTAGTTTTGAAGGTCCGGGTGAATTCTTTTCAGAGACAAAAGCATCGTTGTCGTCGCAATTCGTGAATGAGGAAGTAGTGTGACATCACAACGTCGTGAAGTCACTGGCCGCTGGGATGTGCCAAATGTTATAAGGTTCAATAAGGGGGTGGAATGGCGGGAGACTCATTAAACCTGTGTGTGACAAGGCTCATTCACGGGAAATGAATTCATAACAGTGACGACGGACAAACGTAACTAATGTGTGAATGTGAATCACTGTCGGAGTGTAAATATAAAACTGTGCACAAACCAGCAGTGATGTGATAGCTTCAAATCGCCTCACACACACACTCACTCGCAGACACAACGGAGTGTTTTTTTCCAATGCAAAGTTGTCATATTCACTTTTTCACAGAACACACTGGAGATTTTATCAGTTTTCTTCCATCCACCCTCCTCCCCCTCACGCTGCCTTTAAACCCTCGCAGAGAGAGCTGGCGGCGGGGGTAAAGGCGAGCAGAGAGGCCTCTCTGTCTCTGGCTCGTTGAAACAGTGAAGCTGTGTTCGAACGGGAGCTTAAGGGCGACGCGAAGATGGAATGTGCATGTGTGCGCGCTATAAGTCTTTATACAGCACTTCTCGTTTATTATGCATCAATTGTAGTTTTGTAGCTAGTTTCCTTTTGACTTAAAGCTGTGCGTGCCAGCGTGCGTGCTGTAGCGCACAGACACTGTTTTTTATACATCCATCAGCTTTTAATCTCCCTCTGATCTCCCACACACCACCCACGTTTGTTCTTTTTTTTTTTGCAACTTCTTATTACTTCCCTCCATTTTTTTTGGGTGACTGTTTAAGGCTTTCATTGTCCTGCCGCTTCCCTTCTTTTCATCTTTTATCCTGCTTTTTTCTTTTTCATTGTTTACGGTGTGTGATTTTGACGTTTTGCTAACTCAGCAATCTGCACATGGCAGCGAGCTGAAACTTTCCTTTCTCACATTCACGCTCGCACACATACACGCACATGCTTGCAAATGCAGCGACGGAGGCTTGTTAAATTCAGAGCTAACTAATATTGTTTGAGCGAGCGGTGAGAATAAATAGAGATGAAAGAAAGTGTCAGAAGAACCACCCAGAGTGCAGTGCAGAGTAAGTGTGCTCACAGCGTGTTGCACTGCCTCCTGTGTGCATTTACGTGCAAATTAGCTTGTCTCTTCCTTTCTTTAAAGCCTTTATGAGCTGCCTGATTGCTCACCAGCTTTACAGTGGAGACCAATTAGCCAAATATGTGTGTGTGTGTGTGAGGGCCTATATATTTGCAGGTGCGCTGATTCCACTGGAACCCCTTTGAAGTGTGCAACAATGGACTTTTCCTCACTTTCTGCTACTAACCCTGCAGCACTCTTACTGTATTAGCACAGAGTTATCATCATCATCATCGTTTCCCTCTTGCCGGGTAGGGGCCCGACTGCTGCCACTGCTGCTGCTGCTGAGGAAGTTCAGAGCTGGGCGGGAGGCCTTGCTGGGAGGAGGTCCCAGCGAGGAGGAAGAGGAGGCGGCGGAGGAGGAGGGTAGCGGAGCAACGGTGGCCCTGACCTTGTTGTTCATTCCCAGTTGGCGACTGTAGTTTTGTAGCTGAATGGAGGCGACACACACACACACACACACATTCTGAATTTCAAAGATCACTTTCTTGTAGAAAACGGGAGATGAAAGAGTGGAAGAGGAGGATGTGAAGGAGTTGGGAGGAAGGACATGTGAACGCAGCAAAAAAGAACATTATGTTTGGACTTTAAGTCTGAGGTCAGCTGGAGCGAGAGCTCGCCACAGAACAGAGCGAATAAACACTTTCCCTGCGTTTTCCCGCTGAAGTGAACTATTTGCATGTGAGCAGCCTTATCAGCCCCGATGAGTCACCCTGCCAACAGCTATACACCCTCAGGACACAGCAGGCCTCAGTTGATGGGAATACATAAAAAACAAATTAGGGTGAAAGTTCACGAGCGATACACTGCCTGTGAAATCCACAGGAAATACTACACTCTACTAGAAAATACTCGGAATATACTCCGAAGCACTGAATATTGGTCTGGAATTACACTAAAAAACCCAATAGGATGCCACCACAGCAGCGATACATTCAAAACACTCGACAAACCTCGAGCCGAATGATCTTCTGGAAAGTCTGAAGCATTTAGAAGAATCCCTTGTGATATAAAACCACTTCATCTCAAAAGTGCTATCTTTGACAACATTAGAGTATCAGAAAGCACCACAGCACAGACTGTGCGCTCGTTTAATCAGAGTTTATGACTCACTTTGAAAACTCTAAAATAAAACTGAAGAATGATTCACTGCACTATCGTTGTTTCACATCAGAAACGCAGTAATCCTCAGACTCAATGAGGTAACTTAACCACTTCCTAAAATAAAATTTTACTTTTAGGTTTTAACTAAACTTCTGACTTCATCTGCATCCAAAATGATTCTTGTGATACTTTAGGCACTGAAGCTGCTTAAATGGGTATTTCGCAAACTTTTATCTGGCACTTTTAGTTTCTAGTTTCTTTCCAGGACATGATAAGATTATAAAACACAAAGCACCATTAAAGATTAACCACAAGTTCACTTTGTGGCCTCCTTTAAAAACCTGTGATTGTTTTTACTTAGTATTCTCACATTATCTGACAGCTTTCATACATCTCTCAGATGCTCCCATTCAAACAAAACTGCTGACATCACACAACAGTTTACAAAAACAATACCCTCAGAGTGTTTGAGACTGGCTGACCTCTAGTTTACGACTACCTGGCTACAAACTGAGCAGTTAAAACTAGTTCCAGCTCAACCGAGTGGACCAATAATGTCCGATTATCTAAACTGCCTCCGGAGGGCACGCTCAGACAACACCTTTATCTGTTTGCTTTAACTCGGACATCTGCTCGTCCTCAACCACAACAATGTGGTTGTTTTATTGGATTATGTTGCTTTACTTCACATTTTTCATTCTCATGTTTATTTTCATGTTTTTGTCCAAAAGGCTTGTTTGTGTCTGACTGCAGCGAGTGCTGCCATCTAGTGATCAAACGAGGACACGAGGCTGAAGGGGCATTACTAAAGCACACGCTCCATAGAAAGATGTTTAATGTGGTTAATCAGAATGCGGTCAAATGGCTCTTGAATCATAAACTTCCCCCGTGTTATATATAAGCATCGCAGAGTGACCTTCAGACTGTCATAAAGCTGCTGTGTTTACCTGCCGTGGCTGTCTGCTGCCTGTGCTTTTAGGGCCCTCCTGTGGTGGCTGAATCCTGGGAACAAACAGCTTAGCTCCTCAATATCATCTCCATAACATATATCTATAACCTTAACATAATCTTCTTAATAAGCTTCTTTATCACTGGCAAATGGCTTGTGGTTACGATCACCTTCACTTAGCTACATCTTCACTAACGGCACTGATCACGTCATTCTTTAAAGTAGAGCTTTGATCATCTCTATAAATATAAATATCATCACAGACTCATCATGATCCTCCCGTGTTGCTGACCTGTATGGGTATCGTGGCTGGGAGAGCAGGCCTCGGCTCCTGAGGTGCTGGTAGAGGTTACTGCTCAGGCAGAGAGGGTTTAAAACAAACTCCTCATCCAGCTGAGTGAGACAGCTCTGACAGAGACAGAAGGCACACGAGTATCATTTGAATATTTCAACTGCGACCTGTTTCGACCTTTAGCGAGTACTCAGAATAAAAAAGTGAGTCACAGTAAATGACGAGGCACTGCGTTCCAAAACAGAATTGTAGTAATGTCCTGTCAAAAATACACATGACG